AGAGAGAGATGGAGAAGTGGCTAGTGCCCCTGAGGAGGTGGGAGGGGAGCACTGTGATGGGCACCTGACGGTGGCTGCATCCTACTCCATCCTTTCCCAGCTGGGGGGTTCAGTGAGGAGGCCTTGGGCAGCTCAGCCCCACTCCCTGAATGCATTGTCCCCTGGAAACCATGCCTAAAGGAGCTTTGTCCTCAAAGCCATGAGTACCGAGCACACCCAACCACTGAGCCAGCTGCTCAGACCACTCTCCATGCCCCGCCCTGGGCAGGGACGTCTGAAGCGGACTCAGGACATGCTCTCCTTTATCTGCTTCTCCTTGACCTCGGTAGGTGTTCCCTGTGGGCCACTGAGCTTTGAGCACGCTGACCAGCACTAAGAATTCTGCAGAACAAACGGGTTGACTCTGCCTGTCCCCTCTGCTCCATATCACAGTCGCACCAGCTTACCTACCACACTCCCCAGTCAGAACTCCAAATGAACCCTCCATCCCAGGGCCTGGACAGAGGTCATTGCCAAGTAGACTTGGGCCTGGACACCAGCCTGCTATGCTGCTTGAGCTTTTGCTCAGCGGCATCCTTTCTAGAGTCATTGTCTGTCGATGCTGATGAGCCAGGAGCCCAGGGAGAGCATGCGGAAGGATCTTGGGTTCTTGCCCAGGGCAGTTGCCACCTGAGGTTTCATGAGCTCCCAGGAGCAATCCCCTGACCCCCGACTCCAAAGGGACACCAGAAAGCAAGACTGTGAAGGTCTGAGTTGGCCCTGGCTCCAGTCCTAGCATGTCCATGAGCTCACCCCGAGTCACCTCCTGAACCGTTCACGATTGATTTTAAACATTTTAGCAGAAACCAAACCGTCCTTGCATGCTCCCAGCTATCTAGTCAATCTCGTCTCTCAACTCTGGTAGGCATCAAGGTGGAGGCTGTACTCAGCCATGTGAGCCGTGGTGGCGGAATGGAAAACAGTGATCCTGTTACTGCTGGCAGTGACTGGATGTACAGCGAGCCTAGGGATGGTAGCGGTGCTGTTGGGCCTCAGGCTGTGTGGTCACTGGGCTCGGGTTGGAACTGTGGGTGAGGTGGCCGTACTGTGACTGGTACTGAGAACTGGGGCAATGGCGCGTCTGTGGTGCTGCTGTGGCTGGCACGTTGGTGAAGACAGAGGACCATAAAGAGCTCTGTGGACTGCAGGTGGTTGATGTTAAAACGGTTGTTCACGCTGCCGCCCACACAGGCTGCATTCTGGAAACCTTGCTGCCCGCGGCAGCCCGAGCCATGTCACTCTGCAGTAGGGCTGCTGTCCCACACAACACCAGGGTTCCCATCTCCATGATCGTCTCTCTGAAGCACACCCTCTAGGACTATGCAGAGCACCCACCAAGCACTCATCAAGTGGCTTCCAAGTCACAGTGACCCCATAAATCTTTATGGGAGCCAATAGCCTCATCTTTCTCCCATGGAATGGCTAGTGGGTTTGAACCACCAACCCCACGGTTAGCTGTCCCATGCGTATCCACCAGCGGCACCTGTGCTCCGGCACAGGAAGCTTCAAATCTCTGATCGGGACAGGGCCTTGCTCTTCGGCTTTGTAACCATTCCTATTTTCGTAACACTATCCTCAGAAGAAACTCAAACCCCCATCCCCTGACGTCTCCAACCTGGACCACTCTAATGGTGACACCCTCTGTATTCTCTCTATTCCACTCAAAATGGTTGTCAACTTGGGGCTTCTGGGACACCCTATGTTTTCATCAGCTGGGTTGCTTCCTCTGTCTGTGTCCAGCCTTCCCTGTCTGCATGTGCCAGAATCCTAACCATTCTTGAAGATCAGTCCCCACACACACACACCTTCTTTGAGTTGAAAGATCAAGCAGAGACCCTCCAGCTGGAGGCACCATCTCTGGACCTACACCCTGTTAAGGGGTCTTCCTTCAGCCCTGCATCACAGCCGGTCACATCCACACTGACCCTTTTCTGACCCACAGCAACTAGGCACAGCACCTCGACAAGTGCCCACAGAGTGAAAACTGCAGAGTGAAGACATGCCTTTGTTATACCAAAGAGCTTTGCAGGGAGCCCTGGGTTAGGGCCACTAAGGTGCTGCACGCAGGGGCCTCGGTTAGCGCAGGCCAGCTGGAAATCAAACAGAAGCCTCTCTGGGGTTCAATGAGGTGGTTTTGAGGGAGCCCCAACAGGCTGGGAGCTGGCCTGCCCCGTCAGTTCTGGGTCTTCCTCCAGTCTCAGAACACCAGCCAGCAGGGACCTCTCTCTGTCCCACAACTCACCCTTGGGCCTTAGAAGTTCTCAGTAAGAGGTCAGGCATGCATGGGTGTGGTCCAGCATGGCTCCTTCTCTTCCTCGGGGATCCCCTCACCAGGGTGACAGGGCTCCGCGGTCTTGTCTGGGCCTGGCTCTGTGGTCAGATTGTTGGGGACAGATTGAAGAGAGAGGGCCATAGGGGAGGCTGGGAGAGCCTCTCAGGTGGGTGGGCAGGATAGAGCAGCCTCCTGGGCCTGCCTTCCAGGTGGATTGCTGAGTTCCCTGGAGACAATAAGAAAGATTACTCCCAAGCAGTGGGAGTGGCAGCCAGGTTCTAGCCTAGTCCACCTGCAGGGGATGGGAAGGGAGTCCATGAGGGATGGTCCCCAGCAGCTGCCTTCATTTTGGGAAGTTCCTTTTGGCCTGATGTTCTCAGCCTGTAATTCCATAGAACCCAGCACCAGGCTAGTGGCAGACAGGTGGATGGGATGTGAGTTAGAGGTGCCTGTCGCCATGGTGATGAGCCTGCCCTGCCTGGCTATCAGGTGAAAACTTTTGCCAGTCCCTGCTGCCGTGACTATTGTTGCTAGCTGCTTGCAACTCGCCCGTCGAGTCACGGGGATTCCATACACCAAAGCACAAAACATTGCTCAGTCCTGGTGGTTCTCAGGATTGGCCATGCACGAGACTGTTGCAATTTTTTTTATCGACTGATTTTTCCAGAGTAGCTTGCCAGGCCTTTCCTCCTTGCCTTAGTCTATACCAGGGGTCAGCAAATGTTTGAGATGGAAGAACCAGTCCCGCCCCTCACAATAACTTAACAATTATTCAAGAGCCATAAATGTATTTTTTAAAGCAGAACAAGTCATTTGATTTATTGTTCAAACAAGCTTCATTTGCATTTATTTAACTTTCTGACTGTGCTGTGCCTTCCACAGGTTTACAATGATGTTCTGCTCCTCAGTGAGGACAGCCCGCTGCAGCCTGTCTTGGACATGCTTAGCACCCGTGGGCCCACCAGAAGCCCTGCGGACGTGTTACTGGTTTTGGCTAACCTCGTGAGAACTTGGGTCTCACGGCACGGACCCCCAAAGTCGGCCTGCGCACACCCCACATGCAGATTTGGGCGCTTCCCCGACTTTCTTTGTATACAGGTAAACACTTTTAATAACAGGGGTCGGGACAGCCTCGTTGTGTTGGAGGCTGTGTTGTAGGACAGCCGCGCCGGTAGGTCGGACACTGAGCCATTTTGGTTGCCTCTACACCGGGTCGCCGGAAGAGCCCATAAATGTATTTTTACAAACAAATGGAATCACCATTATTTGAATAATATCCTTAAAATGAAACCATCATCGTTCTAATTTTGCTTTCAGTTTTACTTCAAGGACACCTATATGCACCAAACGAGCAACATATGGCTCAAGAGCCGCAGCTTGCTGACCCCAGGACTAGAAACTCAACCCAAACCATAGCAATGTGCAAGCCCCCAGTAACAGAACTCTCCCGCTGAACCACAATGGTTCATAGTGACTCACGGGGGCCTTACATAGAATGGCACAAAATGTCTCCAGGTCTCTCCTCCCAGCGGCCGGGCTGGAGCCCACTGCTGGAGCGGGACCTCCTTCTTGGTAAAGTTGAGGGTCAGGAAACAAAACAAAGGCCCTTCACAGGAGGGATGGCTACAGCGGCTGCTGCCCCAACCCCAACTGAAAACTCCGTGTCACTGAGTCAGTCCCGAACCACAGAGACCCTGTAAGACAGCTTAGAGCTGCCTCTGGGGGTTTCCAAGATGTTTAAGGGAATAGGAAGCCCTGTCTTTTTCCCACCAGGAGCGGCTGGTAGTTTCAAACTTCCGACCTTGCAGTGAGCAGCGCGATGTGGAAGCACTGGACCCCCAGGGCTCCTTCCTGCTGCTCTGACTCATCCTTCCGTCAACGCTCAAGGTTAGCACAAAAGATCCTGTGTACACGCTCAAGGTTGGGGCAAACGAACAGATGGAGAACAGATGGAGCTGAGAGCAGACTCCAATTGGAGGCCTTTCCCCGACTTGCTTCCCTCCATCAGATCAAGGTCCTGCCAGGCCTGGCTTCCACCTCCTCTCTCTCCAGAGATGGGCCCTCAGCACACCAACACCAACACCAAATAAAACTCACTGCCATCAAGTCAATGTTGGCTCCTAGTGAGCCCACAGGACAGAGTAGAACCACCCCTGTGAGTTTCCCGGATTAGAGCTCTTTATAGGAGTGGAAAGCCCCATCTCTCTCCTGAGGAACAACAAGTCGTTTTGAACGGCTGACTTTGTGGTCAACAAGCCAAGGCAAAGCCACCACACGACCAGGGCTTCTCAGAAGCTCACCAAAGCCCTTGGGACACGCTACTGCTGTGAGCAACTTGGCAGTCCTGCGCCCCTCCCACGGCCGCCTGGACCCAGCACCAGACATACACGAGCGGCCTTTCTGGGCAAGGGGCTTGAGCATGCTGCCTGGTGAGGGGAGGAATGTAGAGTTGGCCTGCTGGTTGCTGCTTGCAGTGAGAGGCTCAGCTACCCAGCAGAGTCTGCCCTGGCCATCCTCTGTCCCTGGGCTCCACAGCCCTGGCATGGGGCCCATGGGACAGGAGAGCCACATCAGCAAAACCCTGGTGAATCCCCAGCCCCGTGGCCACAATGCCCTCCCTGTCTCATGTGGTGCCCCCCACAGTCCCTCTTGGACACACACAGGCACAACATGATGGGGCATGGTTTGGTTCATTTCAAATCCTTTTTATTTCAGAACAAGCATGCCGATCTATGTACAGGAGAGAAAGCCGTGGAGCCAAGCACACTCGTTACAGAGAGGAGAAAGCACATGCCAGTCTCACCACAGCCCATAGGCCCCAACAAGAGACTCTGCCCCAGCTACCCGGGGCGTGGGGGGCGGGGGGGCTTCCACTTCCTCTGCAAAGAGCCCTTTCCGGCTGCCCCAAGCCTCAGACGGAGCAGTGGGCTGATCTCTCTCCAGGACCCTGATCTACGGGACTCAGTCCAGGATGGCAGTAGCCCAGGCTGCTTCTCCCAGAGCCAGGCTAGACAGGAAGCGGAGCATGGCATGTTCAGCTGCCCTGGGCCCTGCCACGTTGTCAGCAACCCTGTCCTGTCCTTTCTGATCCATCAGCTAAGGCTCTGTGCGGTTTCGTGGAGGCTCAGGCTGGGGCAGGTGGGTGAGGCGGTGGGACGGACGGGGGAGCCTACGGGCCATGAAGGCCAGGCTGGCTGCTCAGGCGGGCAGAGCGCAGGCCGCTGCCGTGACTATCAACTGTGCCCTCCAGCCCAACGACACATTCTCAAGCATCACCGTGGGGCTCACATGCCAAGTCTGGGTGGAGGCTGGAGGGAGGGGGGCCCGCCTGAGGGGTAGAGGGATCGGGGGTGGGGGGAATCCTGGTCGGCCCTTTAACTTTTAACGTTAAGGATTTGAGCTGAGAGGCCGTGGTGCCAGTTGCGCAATTTGGCAAAACGTGGGCTGTTACGTTCCGTTTCAAACCTTTCCCTGTGGCACAGAGAGAGAGAGAGACAGAGAGAGAGAGAAAGAAAGAAAGGGGTTAGGGGAGGTGTCTGCCACTGTCCTGCTGACAGCTGGGTAGATGCATGGGGTCTGTCTTGCCCGAGTTGGGGCAGGACCAGGTCATGAGGACCAGGCTCTTGGGACTGCAGCCTGGGAGTGGAGTGAGTGGGGCTTGCTGGGCAAAGGTCGGACTCTGGTTCTCCTTGGCCTGTGTGGTTGGGGCTGGGCAGGGCTGCTTTGGCCATGGACTCTTAGGATGCAATTACATGGGCAGGGAGGCCTCACGTGGTCTCTGTCTTCTGACTGGGCACTGAGAAGGATGAACACCTGTCCCTGTGATGAGCTCTGGCAAACAGACCTGCTGCCTCCCTGGGCTTTCCCAGCCTCCGGTGAGCCTTTCCTGTCCCAGAGACACTGACGGCCCCAGGCCGCCCCGCCTGAGCACCGGTCAGCACACACATGCACACACGTCCTCCAAGAACCGCAGCCCCGCACACAGAGGGGCAGGACCGTCACCCTGCCTGCCAGGAGTGCCTCTGGGACTCTACCTGGGGGCATAGGACAAAGCGGGCAAGGAACAGCCAGAAATGCAGGCACGAGAAGACAGTGTGCCCCAGGGAAGGCCACAGGATGGTGGTCAGAGTCTGGGGCCTCCAGCCTTTGGAGCAGGGACTCTGCAGCTTCCAAAGAGGTGGCTCCTGGGGTCACATCTAACCACATCCAGATTTTGTTTAGTCTGTGCAGCCCAGAAGATACGGTTACAACGTGAAGTGCTCTATCCATGCCAAGGGATGCTACTCGGTCGGAGCCAGGAACGAATGGACCACGGATACACCAACACGTGGATGAATCTGCAGGATATTGTGCTGAGTGTCAAAAGCCAACCCCACCAGGTCACTTATTGTGACTCCACTTAGGTGTCTTTTTCCGCAATGACAATAATCATAGGAATGGAGAACTGATCAGGGGGTGGGGCAGGGAGGGAGATGGGTGTGGATGTAATCCGGTGACCGTGTGAAGGGCCCTTGTGTCGAAGGGCATGTTCTGTGGCCTGGATGTATCAGTTGCCATATCCCAGTGGCGACAGGGGACTAGGACGATGGTTTTGCCAGCTGTTCCCATTGGAGTAAAGTGGCAAAGGGCACAAGGGATTTCTCTGGATTATTTCCTACCATTGCATCTGAATATACAATTGCATAAGAAAAAGTTTAACTGAAAAGACGAATTGCCAGAAGACGAGAAGTTGGAAATACCAGCTTTAACCCACTGCTGTCTAGTTGGCTCCCACTCACAATGACCTTCTAGGACAGAGAAGAACTGCCCCAGAGGGTGTCCAAGGCTGTGACTCTGTAGAGAAGCGGCCCGCCACATCTTTTCCCCAGGCAGCACCTGGTGGGTACAAACTGCTGACCTTTTTTGGTTAGCAGCCGAGCCTGTAACTAGTCCCTCACCTGGGCTTCTTACACTAGCTTTAGGCCTTTCGAGATCAGACTATTTGGCAGTGCTGGGAGTCCATTTCTGCACGGTAACAGTCACTGGCCATCAGGAGGTAATATGTGTCCCCTCCCACATCACACTCTGGTTCTACGCCCTCCATTCAACGTCTGGCTTCCCTGTGTAAGATTTTGATGGGTGAAAGAGGCCCACTGCTAACGTATTTGAAAAGCCCTCCTCTACATCACCATCTCCCAGAGCCCTCCTGCTGGGCTGGGCAGCACATCACAAGGTCAGCTGCTCCCTGGGGGAAAAAACAAGGCTCTGAACTCCCATAAAGGTTTTAGGTCTCAGAAATCCCCAAAGGCATCCTCCTCTGTGCTGCGGTATCACTAAGAGTCGGAATCGAATCAATGGCAGTGAGTCATGATCATTCTTTTAGTCCAACATTCCCTTGTCCTGGGAGGCGCCCAGCCCCACAGTCAGCACAGGGCTGGTCAGAAGCCATGCGAAGGTCAGTGGCCGAGTTATGATCTAAAGGCTGGGGTCTTCCTTCCATGGCACAGACCTGCCTCTCTGGAGGCATAGGAATGGTATGGAGATGGTCTGAAGAGAGTCCCCCTGGTTAGGAATGTGCAGCCCCTCTGACAGCACCACCAGGGACCACTGAGGGTGCAGAGGGTGGGAATCAGACGGAGTCAGCTTTCATGCCAATCACTGCAGCCACCAAGGCATGCAGCCAAGTCCGAGCCTATCTGTCACCAGGGTCAGGGACAGGCACAGGGATTCGGGGAGTCCAGGGAGCTTACTCTGCTCAGGACTGTTTAGAAATTCACAGGGAACCCAAGAAAGGAACAGAAGAATGAACACAGAGAAACAGGGGCAGGGAGGGAGGGGACAGAGAGAAGGAGGGAGAGACACGAATTGGCGGAGAGAGACAGCTCAGTGGTCAGAGCGCCCTGAGGGTCCTGGTGCTTCAGGGGGATTTTCAACTTGCTAACGTCGCAGATCACCGCTCAGCTGTCGGCTGGTTGTACTGTGATGGACGTGTGGAGCTAATACTGGAAGTGATGCCACCAGTATTTAGGATCCCAGCAGGGTCACCCATGGTGGACAGGCTTCAGAAGAGCTTCCAGAGGGAGTCAAACAGGAAAGTAGGGCCTTGTGAGCTACTGACCCAACACTGCCAATTGAAAACCCTACGGGTCACACAACAGAGCGTTCTCTGATATAGCAATGGAGGATCCCTAAGTCCCTTAGGTTGGAAGGCATTCAGGAAACACAGGGGCTCTCACCAGGGTCTCAAGCACACAGCGGCTGTAAAGGGGGTGGTGGACAGGCTTCGTTGCCTGCAGCGTGCACAAGGCATGTGAATCAGGGCCAACTCCACAGCAACTAGCCATAACAAAAGGTAGCAGAGCGCCCAGAAAGAAAATCCACCAAATGGAGGGAGCTTTTATCATAGCTCGCTGCCCACTGCCTTCTCCTGGGGGGGCTGTTCAAGGGAGGGGCTGGTATTTGGCCCCCACAGTGACTGTTGGCTGTGCAAGCTTGGAGGCTGGAGCTAGGAGAGGGCCACACTTCTGTGCACTAAGGAAGAAGAGGACATTGAGAGGCCTGCGGGAGGGACTCAGGAGGAAGGGGCAGGTTCTGGTGCCTCATGGGGTGGGGTGGGGAGGAGGCGGAACAAAGAACTCCTTCCACCTTTGCAGTGGAGAGGGCCAGGGGTGTTGGTGGGGGTGGGGGGGTGTTTGTCCTATAGGGGGTGCTATCTGTAGCTGTAATCCCGAAGGGTTGGGGGAGATGGCTGTGCATAGAGACATACAGAGGTCTCTGCCCAGGTGGGCAGCAGGTGAACACAGAGACATTTGTCAACTCTTGAGGCAGCAGACGGGTTGTATCTGGCTTACATCCTGGGGTTCTTCAGAGTGGTTGTGTACCAGCAATGGGGTTCAGGCCCTTCTCCAGAGCCAGACTGGTTCACCATGGTGATTGGCGCATGTCACTGGCCCTTCCCAGCCCTTTTGTCCTGAACGCCTGTTGGCAGTCCAAGCAGGCCATGGCACTCTCAGGGGTTCTGCACTCGGCATTGGGCTGGAGGCCCTATTTGCACTAGGCTAGTTCAGGGATCCACCACCGCGTCTGGATATACTAAAGTAGATTCCAGGAGCCTCTCAGGTGGAAGACAAGCTCGCTGCCATCGAGTCGAGGCAGACTGACAGCGACCCGATAGGACAGGGTAACACTGCTCCTGTAAGTTTCAGAGACCGTCACGCTTACAGGAGTAGAAAGCTCCGTCTTTCTCCCGAGGAAGAGCTGGTGGTTTCGAACTGTTGACCTTATGGTTATCGGCCCAACACCTAAACACTACCCCACCAGGGCTCTTCATGTGGAAGCAAATCAACCACACAAAATCCAAGCTCATCGCCATTGAGTCATCCCAACTCGTAGTAACCCTTTCCAACACTGTCAGTCTTTAAAGAAGAGTACGCCTCTCTCCCACAACGCCGTGGAGTGCTTCACCCACGCTATCCTCAGGGCTCAGGAAGCAGACAAGAGGCCAGTGTTCAAGGCAGCTGGCCAGACAATTTCTTGAGGTCCCGGGGTTTCCTCTGGGAAGGAGTCAAGTTCCTGAGTGGTGTTGTGCTATTCAGGGCCCCGCCTGGCCTCCCCTTTAAAGACGGGCTCCCTGGTGACTAGAGTCAGCCATGGACTTGTAGCGGCAAGGATCTAGCGTCTGTTCAGGGAGCTAGTTGCTACCAGACACCCTAGGAGTGTCAGAGCTTCTGAATCTAAGGCAGAGAGGGGAGGGGGCTTCAGGCTGCTCCAGAACTATCAGCCCAGGTGGGCTTCGGAGGCAGCGCTGGGAAGGGGGGAAGAGAGACCTGCAGAGTGCCCCCAACTTCTGGTCCCAAGCCCATAAAGTGTCTGACAGCGTGCAGTGTCAGCAAGAAGGAGAGAACCCTTTGGATTCATGAAAAGAAAACACCCACCCTCCTCCTCTGGCCACGGGGAAGGCAGCACAGTGGCTACAAGGTCAGCAGTTTGAAACCACCAGCAGCTCTGTGAGAGAAAGATGAGGCTTTCTACTTCTGTAAAGAGTTTCCATCTCAGAAATTCACACGGGCAGTTCTACCCTGTCACGTCGGGTTGCTGCAAGGCCAAGGTGACTCAATGATGGTGAATTTGGTTTTCTGGAGTTTTTCGGTCACAAAGACAACTCTTCCATCAACGCAAGTCAGGAAGAGGGAGAGGAGGAAGGGATGGAGGCCCCTCCAGTCTGAGGCAAAAGCTTGATGGGTGCCACAACAGCCTGACCGCAGGGCAAGAGAGCCAGGGGGAGGGGCTGGTGGGCTTAGGCCCCTGAGGGAAGCTACTTCTTCTAGATGTCTCCATATGAGACCCTCTGGTAGCTGGGCTCTGAGCCACCAGGGACTGCACTGATCCCCAAGCTGGTGCAGCCACAGCTTCCTGAAGGGGAGGGATGCCCGCCCCGGCCCACAGTGACAGGACCAGGCTCAGTACGTGTCTAGAGAGGCTTCTGAATTGAAGGGCAGGGAGATCAAGGAGGTGGTGGAGAGCCCTTTTACAGGCCTCCTTACTCAACGTGTTGGGGAGAGAATATTATTTGCAGAGTCAAAAAAAATTGAGGGGAATTATAAAAGATAGATGTGCACTGTAACTAACTCCTCGGAGGACGGCTCAGGTTTGTTTGTTTGCTTTTAAATACAGAAAGCAACAAATGGTGAAGAGAATGTGGAGAAACTGGACTCCTTATCTCTAACTCTTTATCTCTAACTGCAGAATAGTACAGGTGCTGGAACCAATTTGGAGATTTCTCAAGAAGTTTAACAGAGCTAGCTTGTCACCCAGCGATTCCACTGGAAATCAGCTTCACAGGGACACGCGCATACCGACAGTCGCTTCTGCACCACCCGCCACAGCCCAAAGGTTCAAAGCGACCCACGGGTCCGTCAGCAGAACGGACGTGTGGACATGGTGGCACAGATATGCCAGGGGATATTGCTCAGCCAGGAGGAGAAGCAAAGTGTCAGTACATGTGACACACACACACACACACATCTTGAAACCGTGATTGATTCGGGGTAAAAGAAGTCAGCCATACAAGAACAAGATCTCACTGAATGACCTCACATCCATGAAATATCTAGACCACGGCAAAAGCACAGAGACCCAGTTTCCATAAGAGGCTACAGGGTCCTCCTGACGGTAGGGCCCACGGGGGTGTTGGTTTAGGAAGCAACCACTTGCTGTTGACAATGATAGGCTAGTGGGCCATGGTTATCACCCAGGACGGCACAACAAGCAGACATGTGAAAAATGATGACTTGGTAGATGTGTTCGCTGGGGGTGGGGGCCCCTAACGGAGTGCAGAGAGAGATCACGGCGTTCCCCAGGAACTTTCTGAGGCCTTCTTGCATCTGCACAACAGCAGCCACCACAACCACAGTTCCCTGGACCCGCCTTCACCAGTCCCCTCCCCCGCATTACAGCCAGTCTGCCGAAGGAGGCGTCTGCTAGGGCCCACCCATCCAAAGGGCTAGAAGACCTTGAATGACCCAGAAGCTCTGCAGAGGGGGAAGCCAAGGTCAAAGAGGCAGGCTTCCGTGTCTGGGGGGAAGGGAGGAGGAAGGCTGCCAGATGGCCTCTGGACAGAAGGGGCGCTATTTGCTTTGGGGGGCGGTGGGGAGGGGAGTGTGACGTAAAGCCCTCCCTCCACCAGGTCCCCCTGTATGCTGTCACATCTAGGTGGGTAGTTCAAAGCTGAGGATAAGGCATACACAGAGGGGCCAAAGGGCCACAAGGGACAGCATGTAGGCATCATGGTCACAGTTCTGTGCTAAGTGACACACTGCACCCTTTCAGCCGCCAGGCACATTGTAGTGTCAAAGGGTAATGTTACCCCATTGCTCACAGGCCTGAAGTCCCGTACTTTAGGCTTGTGTACCTCCGCCTATCAGTGGGAGCAAAAACGTCAGTTCAAGAATAGAAACCACATCAAATCCAAGTTGACCTCCAGAGGCCAACCCTCCACGCTCTGTGGGTAGCAAGTAAGGAAAGCGTGGCTGGGGTGTGGGGGCACGGCGACTAAGAGAGCCTCTGAGACCTGACCATTCTGGATGCATAGAAGCAGCCGTAGAATGCCTTGGCCCAAGGCAAACTCTTCCCAGGAGAACACACAGAAGACTTTATTTGCTACCAGAAATGCAAGCACAGTCACACCGAGTGTACCCCTGGAGCCACGGAAGACCCTAGCAGATTCCAGTGGGTTCTAAGGCAGTGTGCCTGCCCACAGTCAGGCCACGAGTACCTGATGAGCCACAGGTGGTGGGGTAGTAGGTATGACTCAGATCTGCCCCTGCCGGGAGCCCGCCTTGTGCCCACGGCTTGCCCTTCCTTGCCACAGTTGTTTGGCTGTAAGCACTTGATGCTGCTGCTCATGTGAGCCCAGAGGTCAGGCCCCCATGCCACATGCAGCCCCCATGTGCCTGGTGCCCAGCGCTCATACTCACAGCTGGTCAGCCTGGTGCCCTCCTAGGGATGGGAGCCCTCATTCTCAACAGCCCAGCAGAGGCCAAAGCAGCTCTGTCCCCTGCCCAGGTACGGAGCCAAGGGCTAGGCCGGGGAAGCCCAGAGTCCCCACTCCAGTGGCTTAAAGCCTGGGGATAGAGATTCACCTCAGTGACCCCAAATGGCTGCCCCAAAGCAGCATATGCTGGAGAGGAGGCCTTTGGGATCCAGAAGTTTCCAAGTGCAAGAACTTAAGAAGCTCCTCCATGGGTCACGTGGCCAGGGGAGCTGCTGGGGGAGGGAAGGAGTGAAGAGGGGCACACCCTCCCAGCCTGATCCCAGGCACCTACCTTGACCTTCGAAGAGCTTCTTCATCCGGGTCTTGCACTGTGGATAGAAAGGATAGAAAGGTCAGGGGCCATAAGGAAGGCTTCGGGTATTGAGGACCCTGAGCTGTGAGAATCCCGGCCCCCTGTGAACCATGGAAGGGCAGGGCCCATGTCCGGGGCAGAGAACTGGTGGAAAAGGGAGATAAGAGAGGGATGCGTGTAGTGGGGAGGGCACCATAGGAAACCCAGAGTGGTCATTGCATTTGGAAGCAGCAGGGGAAGCCTGCTTGCCCACCATGGAAGCCAGGGAGGAGAGTAACCGGTGATGTCATTGGCCAGCTGGCTCCTGGGGGTGCAGCGGGGACCCCGAGGAGCCCTGTAGGCTGCTAACCAGTCATCAAGGCTGCCTGTATGTTCAGGGGTGGGAGCCTTGGCCCCTGGCTTCTATAGGCTGTGGAGTAGGGTCCACGGGGCCCACTGCTCTGTTCTCAACCCGCAGCCCTCACTTACTGTACTCCGTCCCTGTCATCTGGGCCAGGATGCGGAAGGAGCGAGACTGTAGGTTGGAGGAGCGGCGGGCCCACTCATCAGCTTCCTCTTCCGGCTTGTTCTGGTTCTTAATCACAGCCTGGTACACGGGCGAGGCATTGTCCACCGCCAGGTCTTTAACTGGAAGGCCCCTGCAGTGCAGAAAGAGGCCAGGGAGGCTAGGCTGGAATCGGCTCCCTTCCCCCAGCCCACCCTCTGTGGCTCCCATCTCCTCTGGGTTGGCCCAGCCCCTGTGGGCTCTTCCCTCCTTGCCCTCCCCCCACGGCTGTTTCAGGACCTGAACTGACTCACCTGGGGCCTCATTCTCTAGGGGGCGCAAGAGGCAGTGCATCCTCTCAGTCACAAAGGTCAGAAGCCCAAGTGCCTGTCCTGTCCCCCACCTCATGCTAGCTCTAGGTCCAGGTCTGACAGGCCTGCCTGTGACCCTCACCCTGGGGGACATCTGTGTGTTCGAGTTCCTTTGTAAGGAATAGGGAGACAGAGACGGTTCTCAACCTTCCTGAGCAGGCTCAGGATCCAGGGCTCAGGCGGGGCAGTGGGACTCAGAGGCCCCCCACCCCCAGGCCTGGAGCCCTGGCCTGCCTCACACCTTTGGATCCAGAAGGGACCACTAGCTGTGACCACCCTGCCGGAGGAGGGGCAGGGGCTCCAGCTCCGCTGAGAACCGACATGCGTGAGAAACAAGGCAAGGAGGCCCGTTCCCAGCCTGGCATTGCCGGCCCAGCAGTGGTGTTTCTGACCCGGGGGAGCTGGGAGAGGAGTTCAGGGGAGGACCACTAGTCCCGGGGACCTTCTCTTTGACGTTCCCAGGGTGGGACCCGGACTGTGCTCTGAAGATCTGGAGTGGACGGAACGAGCCTCCGAGCGGAGCTGGAAAGGACCCCAGGCCCAGTGCTAACCTGCGCAGTCTGCACGGCAGGCCGTCAATGACCCATTTGCAGGTGTCCCTTCGACTGGCTCGGGAGAGCCAGGGACCCAGGCTGACCGTCCCCCCACCTCCCACCAGAGGGCAGGGCAGGCTGAGATGAATGAAACCAGCAACAATGACGGCGGTTTCTTCTTCCAGATGCTGAAACTGAGGTCCAGAGAGGCCCGCTGACAGCTCCACTGACGGCCACAAGGCCCTGTGACACTAGGTCTCCAGGCCAGTTCCCTTTCAACCAGGTCCTCCTGGGCCATGAGGGCTGGGAAGGCCATCCCTGCCTGCCAGCCAACCAGCCTTACAGAGACCTGGAGACCTGGCCCCGCTCGAACCCTGCCTACCTCCCTGCCTGCCCAATGTCTGCCTCCACTCACTCCTAAAGGCTGGGTGGCTGGGAAAGGGCGCTCCCAACGCCCCAATCCTCCACCTTTCTCCAAGGATCTGGACAGAATTGGCCTTGTCTTCCAAGGCATGCGGGTCCAGGCCACCAGAGCAGAGGAGGAGGAAGATCAGGGCTGGGTTGGGTGGCCTCCATGCCCCTGGAGGCCCTGCCCTGCCTTTTCTACAGGTAGCCCGGGGTGGGGCGCAAACGAAGAAGACAACAGATCCTTCTGGAGTTCAGTCAGGGGTGGGCTTCAGGTTGTCCAGGGAGTAAGGGAAAGCCGCGATTTCTTTGAGGAGGGCATTTCTGATATAGGGAGCCGTTCCCAGGCGTCCCCAAAATGGAGGCTAGGTGAGCTGAGGGCTTAGGGTGACAAAGGCAATAAGGCACACCAGGAGGAGACCACACCCAGATTCCTGGTGCATTAGGGACTGAGCGAGGGAGGAGGTGGGAACCTCGGCAGGGCCGGCCCTTGCGCCTGACAGCACAGACCAGAGTGGATGGGGTACTTTTGCTGCCGTTTTCCCCGGATGTGCCCAAGAACAACTCCCCGCACCTTCCTGAGCTACAATGGCAACGAGGTGGCCAAAGGAAGTCCAGGGACACCGAATGGGTGGCTTTGCTTCCCGCCACCCTGGACAGAGACCAGGAGGCATGTGTTGTTGCTGCCAGAGACTGCAGTCAGAAAGTAAACACAGGGAAAGTATGCGCAGGCCTTGCGGCCGGCCGTGACCCTGGTGAGAGGCCTCTCCCTGGAGCCGCCTGCCTTCCGTCTGCAGTCCACACCTCCGGAAATACTCCATGACATCAGTGCCCCCCAGGCACTGCTCTCAAACCCGACTTATCTTTCTCCTTCCCAGGGTGGTCCTGGTAGTTCCCAGGAGGATTCTGGGGAGTAGCCTCCAAAAGGCCTCCTTGCCACCCACTGACCCTAAAGAAGGGCCCGGTCTGGATTCAGCCATGCAGGCCTGTGCTGTCTCACTCAAAATGGGAGAGGTTGGGGGAGCCTCCCCAAGGCATGGCAAGCACCCATGAGACACACCCAACGTTGGAGGGGGCAGCATGCGGGTCATTCCTCTATGGTTTCTGTGGCTGGCTGGACAAACACTTCTTAGGGCCACCCTGAAGAGACGAGACAGGCCCGGGCCTGTGCAGGCTGCGGCGAGGTTCTCAATGCGGACAGAGCCGCTGACCACGGGCCCTCATACATATCCCAGCAAACCCACATGCTGTCCCGCAACCAGGCAGACAATGGGACAGACACCATGCAGTCTACTTACGCCAGCGGCGATGCCCTGCCAAGTGGAGCAAAACCCAGCAAGGGGCGCATTTCCATCATGGGAGGACACGCAAGTGTGAGGATCAGAAATGAGTGATAGGAGTGCGGGTGCATCAAGGCGGAAGAGAAAGAGACAAAAAGAGAGCGATCAGGGAGGAAGGAAACGGGCCACAGGGCAGTGGCACGGGAGCAGCGCTTCTTCCCCACCGGCCACTTGGCTGAGTTTAACAAATGGGAAAAGACCCCACAGCTCAGGCTCAGAGGAGGGAAGGCTCAGATGGGGAGCAGAGGGAGATGGGAAAGGCTCTAAGGAAGTTTGGACCTGAACGGTGGTTGCTTTGTGTTCCAAACATCAGGGGTACAGTCTTTTCTCAAAGTGCGGGCAAAATAAAGAAGAGCCTTTCTTCCCTCTGAACTTTGGGCGCGCACCAGGACACAAGTGACAGACAGAGATAAATAGGAACACACACCCCCCACCCCCATAGCTCTTGGGCTTAGCCAGGCAGCCTGATTTTTCTGGATTCATAGGAGCTAACAGTTGTGTCTCCAGACTGGCACCATCCTATTTTCTGCTCTGGGTGACCCAATGAACGAAATCAATGTTGCACAAAGAGAGGCAGCCCTTGAGCCAGGTTTCACACCCATTGCTCCAGGGTAGGCAACCACTGTCCTCTGCTGGCCAAAATGAAGTACTGCATCCCTGAGAGTGGCCTGCTCCCCAGGACCAGGAGAACCCTGGCTGCTTCCCTAGGCCACCCTTGTAGCCTGACCCCCATAGTGTACCCACGCATCATGGCCACAAGGACTGGGGTGGGGATCTGGAAAGGCCACGAACTATAGGCATTCCCTGGGACTTTAAAATCCCTCCATTTCTCTTACAGCATACATTTTTTCCTTGCGGTAAGTTCAAACATTATTTGAAAACGTTCTGCCTTGAGTTGCTGGGAATACTGATGCAGGGTTAATATGATGGCAGCATAGTGGTTATGCATTGGGCTGCAAAACACAAGGTTCGCAGTTCAAAACTACCAGCAGCTTCGAGGGAGAAAGACTGGGCTTTCTACTTCCTTAATAGCTCCAGTCTCTACAACTCACAGGGGCAGTTCTACCCTAGCCTCTAGGGTCACTAGGAATCAGAACCAACTGGATGACAGTAAGAGAGGGAATCTGAAAGTCAACGGCAAGGCGAGCTCCAGCCAGGAAAATGGGACTGTGTGCATCGGAGGCGTGTGTGAGTGACTGAGAGAGAAACACTCAGGTCGCCAAGACGATCTGCACCGGCAGCCGTGTCGTCCACAAACAATTCCAGCTCGCTGCCCCCGTCTCAGCTCTCAAGTTCCTCCAGCTAACTGGCACATCTTGGGATGTGCCCCCCGCCTGGGGTGGGCTTCCCCAGGACCAGCAGGTGGTGAGCGGTGCCCAGGCCTGGGTGCCCCGCAAACTCTGCAGATGAGTGGACTGCCATCAAGAACTTGGATGGCTAGTCTGGGGGCCTCTTCTCAAAAGATAAACCCAATCTTGGGTCTGAATTGACTCTCGTGGCTGAAGGAACACAGCAATTGCCCCCACCCTCTCCCCCACAAAGAAAGACTGGGGGATACCCAGCGTGTGTCCCAACTTCTGGTGGAGCCTTCGAAATCTCTCTTACAGCTGAGCTGGTAGCACACGCTGAGAACAGCCATGTTCGAGAAGGCTCTGAGCCCCAAAGGGGCCTTGGCAAGAGAGAAGGCTGGTCCGAAACCTAAAGATCCGGTGTCGCTTGTCGCCTCTGCGGTAATGCTGCGGCCAGTTGTGTAGCAGGAGGCGGTGGCCCACGGCGCAGGAGGGGAGGCGCTTACCCGCTGAAGTCACTGCCCTGGGCCTGGGCCTGCCCGGCGATGGCGTCCATAATGGCATCCTGGGAGTACATGCTGATGGGCGTGTTGTACTGCGCGTGGATGATGGTGGCCTTGCCTCCCAGGCCCTTCACCTCAATGGGCTTGTGGGTGGACAAAGCGGAGTCCTTCAGGACGCTGGGGTTGAAGCGTTCCTGGTAGTCGGCGCTGGGGGGTGGGGAGGAGGGAGGTGTGAGGAGCAGGATGGGAGGGGTGGGGAAGAGGAGGAAGGAGAAGGGGCCCACGGGGAGTGGTCGTGTAGACACCACAAGGAAAGACTGCTGTTGTGGTGAGAGATCTCCCAAACCAAGGCTCTGGCTCCCAAGTGGGTCCCCCAAGTCCCGCTGACTATGTGCCAGGCTGGCCTGGTTAGGAAAAGTCCTCAGATACCACCCCCCGCCCGTCCCCAAGCCCTCTGAGGAAAGTTTGTCTTGCCCATCTCATCCCTCCCAGGAGGCCTTTCGGTCAGTCCTGAGCTCAGCCCAAGCCAGGCATTGCGCCATCTCTCGCCACACACAGCACAAAAGCAGAAAGGTTCGGGGGGAATAAGGGTAGGCGACAGGAGCAGAGGCAGCTGGAAGCCCAAGCTGAGTCCAGAGAGCCTCAAAGGCGAGCAGTAGCCCCACTGGGCACCCCCATAGGGATTCAACGCAGAGACTCCTCCTCATGGCATGGGTCATCACCCTAGCTGCCCCGTTCCAGTCCTCAGCCACTTGCTCCGTGAGGGCATCTTCTTCCTCAGGCTCCCATTTAGCTGGCTCTGTGGTCCAGGGATAGGTGTGGCTGCCAGCCTCCACCCTGCCCGCCTCCTCAAGGTCAGGGTCAGTCTCTTCTGCAGCTCGGGCAGAAATGCTCTTCGAACACGGTTCCAGCATGGCGCGGCGCCACCCACCACCCCTCAAAGCCAGCCTGCAGTCTTAAGCAGATGCAGCAGGACTTTGGGAACAAAAGGGCTGGCCCATTGGACTGAGCCTCCCACTGTCCCCAAATGCCTCCTCCAGACTGGCAGCTCCCCTACCCCCACCCCACCTCATGCAGGCTCATCCAAGACACGTCTGCACTCCACTCACATGTGCACACATGGACACAGGGGGACACAGGCTCAGACTGTCCACAGCAGACACACACAGGGCACATGCTGCCACACGCCGGTGGGCGCACACCCATGCTTTCTGATACTAACTTGGCTGGCGAGTTGGCTACCACCTGGGAGGAAGAGAAAGAGCAAAGAAGATGACGCCATCAACGAAAGAAACTTTCAGGAGCCAGAGCGAGGGGGAACGTGGCTTCAGCTCGCCCAGCGTGCAGGCAAAGTCTGCCTGAGCGGTTGCCAACCACAGCAGCGAGCCAGCCCCTCAGGGGCCTCCAACCCCATCAGCTTTTTGAGAGAAGGTTTTTGTGTCCATCTTCATCAGCACTCAGGCCCCATATGCAGGAAGCTCCGCCATCCCCAACCTGGACGCCGACCCCCAGGGAGGAAGCTGGGGTACACACAGGACCAGCTCTGCCTGCTAAAGGAAGAATCCAGGGCCCAGGTGTCTCCGGAGCAGACAGCAGGTCAGGACACAGTCACTGTGTCTTGGAGGACGGCTCTGGAAGTCCCCCGCCCCTTAGCAGGACTTGGATGTGGATGCTCCCCCTAAGCCCCAGGACCAGCAGAGAGGCAGGACTGCAGAAGTGGGGGAGGCTAGGGGAGAGGTTCTAGGACCAAGCTTGCTTGTACCTCACAGAGGCAGCCCAGTTTAGATGTGACAAGAAGGACCAGCATCCCCTGCCTCATACTTGTCTCTAAAAGGGAGCAAGCAGGAAGCCCTTTCCTTGGGGTGGGGGTGGGGGACACATTGCTGGGCATCCTGCTTCGTTAGATGCATATTCCCTACAACTGCAGGTGTGCTTGGGTGCCTGTGCCTCCTCAGAACCCCCAGGAGAGGGAGTGTGGCAGGTGGGAGCTCTGCTCCCCACCCCCCAACTCTTCCCAGATGTGCCCTCCCACCACAGCCTCTGCCTAGGGGAGCCTGAGCCTCAGATGACTCGGCTCTGCCATCTTTCAGCCAGGACCCTGGGGCTAGGACCAAGCCAGGGGGTCACCAGTCTCAGATAGTCCACACTGTCCAGAGCCGATAAAATTCCTCTGCTCAAAATAGCTGTGAGCGGAGCTATATTAGGAAAGGGCCAGGCAGGCACAGAGCCTCCATTCTTTCTCCATTTTTGGCTAGTGCTGACAGCTGCAGGGTCAGCTCTTGCCCCGAACAGCCCGGTGTCCCCTGCAGAGGGCAACGTTGGCCTCAGGGGCCACCTTTGCCCTTTTCTGGGGCAGCCAGCTCCTTCCCACCAGATAACCACGTTGGCACTCATTTCTGCTCCCAGCCCAGCTGCTGCTGGAAGAGCTGGAGCTAGGTGCGCGAGCAGTCACAGATCAGAGACCCGGTGCGCAGGTTTCAGGGAGGATGAACCCCAGAAGCAAGCGCTGTGCCCGGGCCCAGGCTGCTGTCCACCATTGTCAGGACCAAGGAACAGGAGTTCACATAGATGCTCCGGCTGGCTGCCTTCCGGCCCCATCTGTTCTTCCCCGCCCCTCCCGCGAGAAAGCAAGCTGTGAGTGGGATCATATTACAAACTGCCCAGAGGAAGATACTGGGCAAGGTGCTTCCACTTCAAGGCTGGCAGAACAGAGTTCAAACCCCGACACTGCCTCTTCCTAGTGCTGTGACGCTCCCTCCCAGTCACCCCCGTCTCCACCTCGGGCTTCTCACTTAAAAAAAAAAATTGAGATGACCGCATCCAGTCTGGCAGTGAGAACCAGATAGCATCCAGAGTGTAAAGCCCTTGGTGTGGGGTAAGGGCGTGCAGAGATGGACACAGGGACTCACTCATAAGTACATACCCTGTCATCCATGACCCTGGGGACACAGGCCACTCAGCTAAGAAGGTAGCCTCCTTAGGCCCAGGATCAGGGCTTCTTAAACCTTTTCCACTTATGACCCTTGTTGGCCAGAGGAATTTGCTGCATGGACAGCTGCTGCCAGAAACACCCCAGATTCATGACCCCTTTGAGTTCGAATCAATGTCAGGTCATTGCAGATTCAGAAGCCTTTTGCTGTGGTCAAGTTTTTGGCAACCCCCCCATTGTTACCCACATGGGGTGCCACCCACAGCTGAAGAAGCTTGGGCCCAGGTCAGGTGCTACTCCTCTTCCTCCAGCACTGCCTGAAGGGGGTGGGGGCTACATGGATCAGTGATCAGCTTCCACTTGGGGCGGGGTCCCACCAGGGGCTTTGCCCAGCTCACCTTCCCTTGTTTGGGGCAGGTTGGACCCTGCACTCTAGTAGCAAGTCATCATTCACACACTTAGCAGGTTTGGGAAGCTGGCGTGCCAACAAGAGGATACTGCGTCAGCGTCAAAGTCACTGGATTTCCCCCAAGCAAGCTGGTGCGTCCTATCTCAGTGCAGGGCGAAGTCAGGCTGACTCAGGTGAGCAACACCAAACTCCCGGCCATCCAGTGGGTGCAGACTCACAGCCAGTCTGCAGGACAGGGTGGGGCTGCTCCGTGAGTTTCCAAGACTGTAACTGTTTGCAGGAGTACCAAGCCCCATCTTTCTCTTGCAGAGCTACTAGTGGTTTTGAACGGCTGACCTTGTAGATCACAGCCCGACGCATAACCACAACACAGGGGCTCCTGTGTGTGACCTTGGACAACTGATTAAACTCTCCGAGCTTTAATGCCAGCGCCTCTCCGAATTTGCTGAATGAGTTGTTTTAGGTAAAGCTTGTGAGCTGCTTAGCCGGCCCCTGGCCCAAAATGAGGGCTCAGTAAGAGGAAATGTTACCATCCCCACAGATGGGCCTCGTGGGGGTCCCGGTCCCCCTAGGAAGGCCTTCCTCCCCAGGGTCATTCCCAGAGATGGTCAGCAAGAGCGGCTAACCCTCAGGGGAGGCCATTCTTGTTCTTCTAGCCCCTCCGTTTACAGAGAAAACCCCTTTTGGGCCAGGGGAGGCTGGTGGGGCTGGAGTGGGGTGGGCTCACATGGATCTTCCCCCTTGGGCTAAGCAAATCCGGAGTCCAGATGCTCAGGCCATGGCATGCCAGGGCCCGTGAAAGGCTGGGGGCGGCTGGAGGCGTGGGTGTCCCCATGGGAACAGCCATGGCACAGGGGGAAGAGGGAGCCAGGCTCCGATTCTGTTGATGCTGATGCCAGACCCGGAGCTCAGAGCGTCCGTCAGCGGGCAGCCCAAGCTACATGTGGACTCAACAGAGTGAGCGCGGCAGTGGCAGCAGGGGTAGGCCTGCTCTTTCTGCCGCTGCCCCTTTCTCTTGGGGAGGAGGAAGCAGGACCTGCCTCTTTGCTGGGATCAGCCCTGCAACCTGCTAGCCTCTCCATACCCGCTCAGGTGCTCTTCCTCCAGGAAGCCTTCCCAGACTACTCCCAGTGGTTGAGAACTCAGCTTCCTGAATTCCACCCTGCTTCTTCCTCGGGGTTCCGGGAGGGTAAGGACTAGCATGTCTCTTTCCCCCAGAAGCTCCTGGGAGCAGCAGGCTTGTCTGTCCTGTCCTCAGGGGTGGCCTGCTAGGTCAGTTTTAGTCCCCCCTGCATTCACCTCCTGGCTTGGCCATCAATGGCTGGAGAGCTGGGCCACAAGGCACCTTCTCTGGACCTCAGTTGCCTCACCCAAAACCGGACACATGACCCTGAGGGTGAGCGAGCAGGGCAGTGAGGGACCGCCCATTCATGGCAAATGCCAAGAAGGGGTCTTGGCTTCCCTTGCTCTCCGCCTGTACTGCCTCTGGGCTTTGACCCTCAGACCAGGCTCCGCAGAGCACCGAGGACGCAGGTGGCCCTGAGCCCTGTGCAGAGCTGACCCCCACCACCTCCACCGCCCATTACCTACCCTCTGAGGAGTCCAGCACCCGGGGCCTTCCCTCTGAGGCTCAGCTGATACATCTGAGCCATCTCCCTCAGGGTCTCTGCCGAGTACAGGCCAATGGGGTTGTTATACTGCCTTGGCTGTCTGGAGCCCACTGGGGCTCTGGTGCCCTCGGGGCTGGCCTGGCCCCGTGGAGGGGAGGGGTCAGAGGCCTCCGTGTGGGAGAAGACAGAGCCCTGGGTGCAGGAGGAGCTCAGGTTCTGCGTGAGCTCGGTTGTGTCTGGGCTGCCTGGGCTGGCCCCCGCCTCGGGGCTGGGGCTGGGCACCGCCAGACTGCCGTTCATGTCCAAAGCAGGGTCCTGGCACAGGGTGGCACCATGCAGGGAGAGAGAAGAAAGTGTTAGAGACACGGCCGCCTGAAACAGAGGTGTTAGTGTGAGCGCCCAGCAGCCCCCGCCTTGCAGCTTGGAGGCCCTGCACAGAGCTGAGCAGAGCCCGAAGGGCACCTGGAAGAGAAGGGCTTTGAGGGGGGAGCAAGGGCGGCAGCAGCTTCTGGAGCCCCCGGTTGCAGTCCACCTGGGCACGATGCTAAGCCCTGCATAGAAAGCCAAGCCTAGCCGGCTTGGGAAGTTTGAGGTTTAGAGGCTGGCGGGGTCCGCTGACTTCACTCTGAGCCCTGGTCTGATGGTGAGCAGCCAGCATGGAGGGACGTAGCTGGGCGTCTGGCTCCTAGGGCCCATTCTGCCCAAGCAGCCTTTGACTCAAGTGTCCCTAAAGTGTTACCCACCCCCAACCCCAAGCCAGCCTCTCCTTCCCTCTGACGTCCCTCTGCCTCGCCTGTGACCCACAGCGACCCTGTCAGTTCTTCTCCCCTCTCTGCCCGCCAATCCCTCCAGACTCAGAGATGAAGCCAGGCTGGGGTCGCACAGGCAGGGCTGTGTGGGAACCTCCCATGTGTGGTTCTGGGCCCTTTGAGTGCATTGCTTTGGGCTATTTGGCTGGAATGAGGATGGGCATGGAGTGTGGGGGTGCGGTCTGCGGGCTGGGGCTCTACCTCCTCCCCTGTGCCTGTCTCTGGGGTCACCCCATCAGTCTCAGGGTATACATTAAATGTGTCCCAGCCAGGGCCAGGGGAGTGGAAGGGGGAGGGGACATGGAGGGACAGGTGTGGAGATGAAAACTGGAGGGTGAGATTTGCTGTGGGGGAGACGTCCCTTGGGTCCACAGGCCCCTGCACATGGGGGTCCCCTGGGGTGACTGGCTCAAGCTGGGGCCTCCTTCTTCCCTTCATGCCCCAGTCACTCCCTGCTCACCCTGCTCGCTCAGGCAGATGACGGTCGGAACTTTCTGGATGCTGGTCCCCACTGGCTGGAAGGACGACCCGCGTGTGGTATTAGTCCCCAGGCAGGCACAGCATACTCAGTGTTTCCGGGCACCCAAATGCTCTTTCTCTGTAGGTCTGCCCCACCTCACAGAGTCAGACATGCCAGGAGCAGGAGGCAGGCCGGGCCGGGGCCATGCCCTTGCCCCCATGGGGCTGGTCTGGTCAAAGGGCTGGGCCGGGAAGCCAGGAGTATAGCTGAGGGTGGACCCTGTTGCCCTCGGACAGTCGACACCTACCTTCTGGTGGGGAATCACCGGCAGAGGGGACTGGACCGGGGGTGCTGTTGTGCTGATGGGTATGGGGCGCTTCGACCTGCATCAGTCAGAAATGAGACCAGTGAGCACAGCAGACCTGGGGGGCAGGGGATCCCCTACTTGGGTGGGTGGGACTGGTGAGGGGGCCAAGTGAGAGCCAGAGAGCCCAAGGCCCCCTGCCCACTCCCATGACCAGGGTCCTCCCTGGAAAACAGTAAGCCTGGCCATGGCAGGCAGCGCCCCAGGGTCCTTTGGCCTGTACCCACTGGCCTCTGCTACCTTCTTGGGAGGCCACCTGGAGGCTTTGGAGTCAGAAAACCTGGCCCCTCTCCAGGGAGTACAGCCCTGGGCTCACTCCCTGAGGCTCATCTGTAAGGGAGGCAGTGATGGCTACCTCCAGTGCCTGACAGAGCAGGTCTTGACAAAGCCTTGGGTTTGGTCCTTCCCCAGGTAAAGAGGGTGCACTTATTTCCCTACCTGCACATCCGTGAGTATAGGGCTGCCCAACCCCCCTCCATCCCCACCCACAAATTGATGGTGGACACTCCCTCCCTTAGCCCCCAGACACCCCTCCAGCCCTCCCAACCTTTGCTGTCCCAGACAGCTGCTACCTACTTCTGCAGGGTGAGGCTCAGGTTGTAGCTGGCGGACTTGATCTTGTTCTGGGCCTCCAGGTGGGTCATGGTGTCTGTGTTGACACCGTCAATGGCCACCACAAGGTCACCTTGGCTGAGCTGGGACTGGGCTGCTTTGCTGCCTGGCGTGATCTAAGAAGGCAGGAGAAGGGATGTGAGCTTCTATAAGGAGACAGGGGTGGGTTCTCAAGGGGAGAGAGAGACCCATTCATGGTCTTTCATTCCCTGTGGCCAGCCAGTGGCTCTGCCTAGGTTGGGCCTCTTCCTGGCACCTGACTGCCCCACAATTCTCAATGTCTAGGCCGTAGTGGTTCTCAACCTTCCTAATGCCATGACCCTTTCATACAGTTCTTCATGTTGTGGTGAGCACCCCCCAGCCATAAAATTATTTTTGTTGCTACTTCATAACTGTCATTTTGCTACTGTTATGAATCGGGCGACCTCTGTGAAAGGGGTCACGACCCCCAGGTTGAGAACCGCTGGTCTAGGGGCTCTAGCCAGGGGACTGTGTTGGTGGAAGAAGCAGAGCATGCCACTTCCAAGCTTGCCCACAGTCCTGGCCCTGTTGTCCTCTGCTTGTTAGTCGATTGGATGCAGAAGACTCAGAGGACAATGGAAGCACCGGCTGGCAGGGACCAGGATCCGGGAGTCACTGCTTGGAGGAGAGATGGCATAAGGAGATGACATTGCACTTTTCAGGAGAGAAACAAACTTTTCTCGTGCTGAGCCATTGAGACATAGGCTGTTGGTTAAGTCAGTTAGCCTCCTCTACCATCTTCCCCGACACACTTGAAGAGCATTTTCTCTAGGAGGGTGGAAGATATGGGAGCCATGACCATGCTGGGGATGCTTCTGGGCTAGCAGGCGAAAAGCAGCATAATGCAGGGCTTCCTCCTACCAGTGATGGTGAGCAAGGCCCCGCAATCTGCAGCCTTGCCTGAGGGAAGTCGGAGGCTCCCCAGACAAGGGCACACTTGGCTGGGAGGCGCCGGAGGGCTTGACTCCACAATTCCAGAAGGGGGAGGACAGGTTCCCAGTGATATCACCGGACTATGAGGATCCGGAGACCCCATCCGTCCCCCTGCAGCCTTACACAGAATGCCCCAGGGCATGTCAGGAAGGCCTTGCTCGCCCCAGGGACGTTATTCAGATGCCACTGTGGCTCAGACTCCAGTCCCAGTGACAACACTCGATGCCAAATTCTACACACCCAGTCCCTAGGAACCTCACGCCGAGTGCCAGGGTGACTCGGCCCAGAGTGGTGTCGCAGGAAATACAAAGTTCTGCAGGGCCTGGTGACAGCACCTACGATGGGCCGGCCCATCCTCCTGTCATTTCTTGGATTGGTAGAAAGCCCCACTCAAGGCAGCTCCTGGAATGCCCTAGAGACTGTGGCTCCCCTCCCCTCCAGGTCGTGTCCAGTGGAATGCCTGGGAGGCCATGCCTGTGAGATCACTTGGAGGACCCCCCATGACATCCTGTGGAATGGCTTCCTGTCCCCAGGGACATCCCAGGAAAGAAGAGCTTTCAGCAGCCCCTCAGCTGTGGCTGGAGGGGTTCCCCTGGTTTTCCTTCCCCATCGTGGCCCCCAGCCAGGCCTCCAGGCTGCTCTGGAGCACAGGCCAGCCATCTTTCGGGCTACCCTCCAGGGAGGAGGCAGAGCCTGATTCTGGCTAAGGTCTGCAACCATCCTACAAGAGCCCAGAGAGAACCTGAGGATCATCCCGTGCCCAGGAGCCAAGCCTGTGTTGGTCTCTGGCTAGACCCTGGGTTTACCGACGCATGGCTAGAAGCCTCCTGCCAGCCCTCCTCACAAGGAACTCCCATCTTTCATGACTCTGGCCTGAGGCTAAATCGGGATGCCCTGCAGTGTTCAATTCCCTGTCCATTCCAGATCTGCTCCAGCAGGTGGCCTCTGGGCTGAAGTTTCTCTTTGACTGCTCTGTCAGTCATAAAAACACTCTTCCTGGTGGTGGTAGTGGTGTTTTGTTAAGCATCGGACTGCTAACTGCATGGTCATCAGTTCAAACCCATCAGCTGCCTCGAGGGAGAAAGATGAGGTTCTCTGTGCCTGTAAAGATTTACAGCCTTGGGAAGCCTATACAGGATCACTGTGAGTCAGGGTCAAGTTGACGGCAGTGGGGTTGGGGTGTTCTACACTAGAGGTACCAGCAAGCACGAAGAGCCCTTGCCAATTACCAGTGACCAGCTGTTTTAGGCCCAGGGATGGTGGCCCCGTCTTAATCATTGGCCACATGTGCTTGGAGCCTCCAGTCCTGAGTCTGCAGAGAGGCCAAGGGCAACCAATGTCAGGAAGCCACAGTACTTGGTTTTCAAAGTCTAGTATGTGCCCCAGGCTCCCCTAGGGACATCTTAAAAGTGCAAGGGAGCTTCAAATCGCTTGTGGGAACATTCCATTCTCTTTCAGTTTCATTTTCCATGAACTTTATGAAGCCTCCCCATCCTTGAGATGGTTTCACAATACAAACGGCTCTTAGCCAGAGGCTCATTGCCACGGAAACCTCTGTGAATGCCAGCCGTCTGCTGCTTCCTTCCAATGTGAGGGACTGAACAGAGGGTCAAAGCAAACGCACGGAGGCAGTTCCACTGTCGTGTAGGGTCACTGAGTCAGCATTGACTCGATGGCAGTGAGTTTTTTGAGTTTGAGGTGGAGAGGAGCCTGCGGAGAGCAACTTGAGGTGCCCAGCCAGCCTCCCCTGCAGAAGTTTGGCGTCCCCTGTACCTCCTGGCTGCACACTCAGAGCCACGCCATTCTCAATATGGCACCGCAACCATTCCAACCTGAAAGAGAGCTGAACGAATTTTACAGAGAAAACCCACATTCCTGCCAGTCTGGCCCTCCTCTGCCATTTTACTGGACTGGCGGCATCGAACATCTTCATTCTGTTTGTCCCCAGTGTCACTAGGAGAGGAACCCCCTTGCTGACACCTAACACCGTCCCTCTCTCCTTATTCACCCAGCCCGCCGTCTCATTTCTGAAGTATGTCAAAGAAAGTTGCAGACATCAGTTGGCTTGCTTCCATTCAAGGCAAAGTTTGCCTCTCTTGTCCTGGCGGACTGCCTGCAGAGCTCCTCTAGAACAGGGCTCCCCCCACCAGCAGGGCTCCCCACAAATACCTGTAACCATCTACAGAGCAGAGGCCATTACCCTGAAGCTGGAAACTTTGGGTGTTTGGGGGAGCAGCTATAGACCCCCCAGAGAAGAGCTGAGCCTGGGGCCTTCAAGGGTGAAATCCTCTAGGCAGCATGGAGCTCAGGACGATGCTGTGAGCAAGGCCACCAGAACGGCACCCAAGGGAGGTGGGGGCCAGATCCATGAGGGCAAGTTCAAGGCATCTGTCATGTCCTACCTTCAAGCTGCCTTGGGGCTCTCTCTCCCTTAGGCTTGGGTAGGGTAATGCCAGTCCTTCCTGCTGGACCTCTGGCCTGTTCCCTTCCCTGGACCTGCCATGCTCCCCTTTATCCTCAAGAGAGGGTTGTGGTGATTCTTGCCCTTAGGGGAGTGATCAGTCTCTCCCGGGCTGGGTCAGCAGCAAACAGTCCAGTGGGGAAGCTCCCACACTGGGGCCTGGTGTGCTTCCTCAGCACCTGCCTCTGCCCATCAGGGCTCAGCCGGCCTTAGGCCTTGGCTGCTCTGGACAGGGCTCAGGGGCCCTGCATGGGGGCAAGAATCCTGGTATCTTCTTTCAGGGACGGTTTAGGTCTCCTTAGAGCAGGAGGCAGGGTCTCCTAGGAGGTTTCTCAGCTCCTAGGACCAGGGGCCACCAGGTCTCCTTGCCACGAGCAGGACTAATAGATCTGAGCAGGTATGATGTATCCAAGTATCTTGTTTGAGTCTACCTCCCTCTTCCTCCTTACCTTGATCCAGAAAGGACACAAGGTTGTTAATGTTAAATCCTTTTTCTTTTTTAACAAGCTGCTCAATAATCTTCTTACCTCCCCCGTCCCCAGTCCTCACCCCCAGCAGTTTTATTGGCACAACAAGTGTTATTTCTTTAATTCTATCTGCTCTTGAGCATTTAGACAGCAACCCCCATTTATCAGGGAACCCCCTCATGCCCCATCTTCCCCAGAGAGGCTCAGCCTCTCAACCTGAAGGAGTCCCTCCGCCTTGCTAGGCCCTGGTCTCAGGGCATCCCTGAGAGGCCCAAAGTCACCAGCAGGTGCCTGGGCGAGAGACAGCAAACACCAGGAGCATGGATTTTGGTTGGAGCCCCATGTGAGGGTCTAGTTTCAGTCTCTATGTCCTTGAGTGGAGAAAGAGCAACAATGCCTTTCTCTCGGATTATTGTGAGGATAACGCTCTTAAGTAGGGATTATGTCAGGAGGGTACAGAGCTGAGAAAATTTTCAGGGAAATTCTAAACTCCAGACCCTTAATGTAGATGCTGACCGAGCGTGTTCTCAGGAAACACCAGAGGCTGGGAGGCTGGCAGGCTACACCCCTAGGTGGTCACTGAGGACGGAGGTTCCGCAAAGGGCCTGGGCATCATGGCAGCAGGGAGATATGTTCTATCTGGGACCCAGAGGAATAAGGAACCTGTTGGAGGTCCAGGTGTGCTATACCATTGGCTCCTATTTCCTCACTCCCCTGACGGGGCAGCTGAAGTCTGCAGACAGCTCAGGCGATCACCCCCACTACCCTCGGGGATCTTGGGACCAGTCTGTTGCCCGGGCCTGACAGGTCCTTGATGGGATGTCTTTTCCTACAGATCTGCTAGTGTATGGGGTCTGGGAGACAGGTGGGGCTAAGGAAGGGGGCAACTTCCAGAATCTTCTTCGCGCTACCCTCTAGGCCAGTGGTTCTCAACCTTCCTAATGCTGTGGCCCTTTAATACAATTCCACATGTTATGGTGACCCCCCAACCATAAAATTATTTTCATTGCTACTTCATCACTGTAACTTTGCTACTGTGATGAATCAGGCAGCCCTTGCGAAAGATTGAGAACTGATGTTGTAGGCTAACCACTCCACGTACTTCCCGGGGCACCCCCAATAGAAAGGCATTTTATCACTGAATGATTAAATGACAGCCTCATGCTAAGCTTGCTGCCTTCCCATCTGGCCTCCCCTGGGACCTTGCTCCATCCCACATCCTCTCCCTCAAACTTGTGTCTTCCAGTGGCCCCACCTCCAACCACCCCATGCTGGCAGATATGGGGTGAAAGGAGGAAAGCCCATCCTCCTGGCTACACCCAGTCTTCTCCAAGAAGTGGCCAGCAGGCACTCCCTCTGCTGTCCCCCCTCCCGCTCAGCCGGTCAGGCCTGAGGGCTCTCCATTTCACACATTCCAGTGACTTTCTTGCAGGCTTTGAAGCGGTTCATTTTGGTTCCACCCCCTTCTGGGAAGTTGCCTCTCCATGCCATAGAGACTGAATCAGAATCTGCATTTGAACAAGAGCCAAAAAGAAAAAAAAAAATCCACCCCCCCACCCGGCCCAAAGAATCACCTGAAGATCATGTAGATTCTGATCCAGTATATCTGGAGTGGAAAGGCAAATTCTCCCCAGGGCGTCGAGCCAGACCAAAGCCTGCCAGAGACCTGTGCCTAGAGCTGGGGACACTGCCCACCCAGCTGATGACTGTGGTCTTCTGGAGGTGTTCTCCCCGCTCCCCCCCTACCCCACCCTCTGACCCTGAGGCTTCTCTGTCTCTCTCTCCCTATGCATCTTTGCCCTGCGTGCCCTGGGCTCAGTGATGTCCTAGCCGAGCCCTTGTAGTATGGTTCCCAGGGCAGGTGGGGCCCAGCCTGACTCTGGAGGGACAGGGGAACTGTGTTTGAGAACAGGAAGGTCGGCCCCCCCCCTCCCCCCCGAGTGAGAGCAGAAGAGGAAGGAGACCCAGGGACTTGGGAGATTCCTAAGCTGGAGGACTCCCCCCAGCTCGCCCCCTAGGGTCCAGCCTCTGCTCCTATCAGAGCCTTCCCCAGGGCCAGGGTGGGCTCTGAGCTGCAGGAGGGGAGGAGGGGAAGGGGGAGCAGGGGAAGGCCTAGTCGGAGGAGCCTCTAAGTCCATGTTCCAGTCCGGGAGGTCTCCGCCGCCGGGCTGGAGCCCTCGGAAGCTTGCCTGACCTTCAGCACAGCTATAAACAGCCCAGCCTGTCAGCGCTGCTAGCTGCTGCCCAAGAAACAGCACGCTGTGCTCCAGTGGCCTCAAAATTCCAGGAATTGCTGGCACAGCTGCCCCAGAACAGCCTCGACCTGTCCCCTTACCCTTCCTTGGGGTCTCTCTGTCTTCAGCACCCATCTGAGCATGGGAAAGATCGAGACCAGGCAATAGCAGAGGGACTGAGGCCTCAGGGCTGGTGCCCTGCACGGGCCCACAAGTCCATTGGGGTGAGGCTCTAAGGGATGGGGGTCACTAAGCAGAGAAGCCAGCCCTTTGTGGGCCCTGCTCAGTCCCATCATCCCCCCCAGCCTCTGATCTGAACCCCAGTGACCCCCACTTGCACAAGCGCCTGTGGAAAAACACCCTCACAAGGCATGCTCCCTGCCACCTGGGTGAGAAAACAGGCTAAGGAAGGCCCAGTGATTTTCCCAAGGGGCCATTCCTGGGGGTGGCTGAGCCAAATGAAAGCACTTGTCTCCTCAGACAGTCAAGGGCAGTGGGAACGATGGGTACCATCCCAGGCCTAGCCGCTGGCCTGAAAGGATGCAGTAGGGCAGGGGCCCAGCCCTTGAGTGGCTCCTTTGGTGGCTGCTCCTCCCCCACTTCCTGGAGCTTTGGCTGGGCTTGGGTGGGTGGGGTGAGAGGGCAGCTCACGTTACAGGCCCTGACACACCTGTCCGGGATAAATAAAGGCATTTCCCCTCCACCCTCCACTCTCCCCCTGAGCTCCCTTCTCTGTGGGCCCTCAAGCTTTGAACCCTTGCAGGGCAGGCCTCCATCATCCGCACTTTCTGGGAGGAGCTGAAGAGTGGGGTGGAGGGTGAGGAGAGGGAACTGCCTCTTAACCAGGGCAGGCAGGCCTTCTTCCATAGACTGCCTGCAGTGGACTGGGGGCAAGGGGTGGGCTGTTCCCCAATCTCTTGATCAAAGTCAGAGGGGTGAGGAAGGCAGGCTTGAGAGCTGGGAGCTTCCCAGGACACAGGAGCTCCCCCCCAAGCCATCCCCACCTCATGGCCAAGGTGGGCCTGGTTCTGGAGTGCCAGGGACCCTTCCCGCAGGCCCCGGTGGTGCAGTGGGCTGCAAAAGAAACTGCTAAGCACAGGGAGGAAGACGGACGTCTACTCCTGAGGAGAATTAAAGTCTCAGAACCCCCAGGGGCAGTTCTGCCCTGTTCTAGAGGGTCACCATGAGTCGGCATGGACTTGATGGCAGTGAGATGGGACCCACCCCCCACCCTGCCCGACCGGCCCCAGTCCTGCCTGCCTGATGGATCCTTTCCATCTTGAATGGGTGCCTTGGCTGGGAGCCCCGTGGAGCACCATCAAGCTCTGCCTCTGCCAGTGTCCCCACTGCAACAGGCCACCACCACCCCCCCTAGAGCCTGGCGCACAGGCTCTGTTGCCATGTTCTAGCTGCACCCTGCCCTTGGCAGACTGGGGGGCGGGGGCGAGTGGGTGAAGCAAGGTGGGAGCAAGCTTCCTGGTCCTGCACCCCCCGTTTTAGGGGGTGGTGATTTTGCTGCAGGAAGGCCTTGAGGGTCCCAGCAAAATCCCACCCTCCAGATGGATGGAGGGCCTGTGTGTTCACCCTTCCCGGGAAGCACAGAGCTTGGGACCCCCTAGCTCACAGCACCAGCAAGAGGCTCTGAGTCTAGGGAGGGTCTGAGCACCCGGTCTAGCAGGCTTCAAGGCCTTGTTGACTTGGGGTGGGCCCCTGAAGGGAGTCAGTGGCCATCATGTCCATCCCCTGATGCCCTGCCTGAGCAGCAGGTTCTATTTTTAAAAGTCCCCCTGGTCACTGGCTCCAGTGTATCCCTACATGCCGCCTCTCTGCAGGAGGACATTCCTCCTGCTGTCTAGCTTAAGGCCTCTGTGTTGCAATTTAAGCCCTCAGCCTGCTGGGGCCAGGTGGCACATAGGCCCTGGGTGAAGTCATTGGCTATCCTGGGTGTCACTGAACCAGGAGGGCTAATTTCTGTCCTCAGGGTTAAGGCAGAAGGCGCCAACAGGAGGCTCAAAGGATGGTGGGGTTGGAGGAAAGTTGGCCTCAGTCCCAAGTGTGAGAGGCCGGGGGAAAAGAGAGTCAGGGTGGATGGCCTACTTCATTCATTGGGAAGACCATGGGGTAGCAGCTATGTAGAGGCCTGGGTGGGCAATGCCCACTGGGGCCCAAATGCCCACACAAGCCCAGGAGAGGTGTACAGGTGCTGGGCTGTCCTTTTAGTGCAGGTCTATGGTCTCCAGGGCAGCAGACCTAGAAGGTGGGGACCGTGAGATGGAACAAGAAACTCACTGTATTGAGTCGGTTGCTGCCGACTCCTGGCAACCCCATAGGACAGGGTTGAACTGCCCCTGTGAGTGTCTGAGACTGTCACTCACCTGTCTCCCTTGAAGTGGCTGGTGGTTTTGAACTGCTGACCTTGGCGGTAGCAGCCCTACACATAACCCACCACACCACCAGAGCTCCTTAGAGGATGAAAGCCAAGGCTTTCCTGAGACCAGAGCCAGCCCAGCAGTCCCCGCCCACCCCGCACACTGGAGGAGTGTGGCCTCCTGGCTGTTTCAAGGTGGCCATGGCACCCCGGAAAGGGACTTCTTGGGGTCCCCTCAAGTGCTCACATAGATTCAAGAATCAAGACTGCTCATCCAGGGTGGATCCCTGGGCCCGTGCAGCACTGCCTGAGCCTGCTCACCTGCGCAGACCCCCTCATCTCTGCCAGGTCATCCCTGGGTGCCCACCTCAGTGCCCCACCCACCCCTGCCTAAAGCAAGTCTCTGCTGCCCTAGCAAAAAACCATCTCCCTATGTCCTGGGTAGGTCACCGCAGTGCCCCCCCCCCCCACTACATATACACACCCTCAGTCACGGCCGGGGGCCTCATCCTGCTCCTCAAACCCAACAGGCAAGGTTTGCCCCAACCTGCCACACACCTCACCACCTAGCCTGAAATGTGGGGGCTTTGGCCCAGCCCGTGACGAACTCTCAGGAGGGTCTTTTTCGGACACATATTCACTGAGCACCAACTCTGCTCTAGGCACCTAGTAGGTGCTAGGGAGACATCTCACTGCCACGAGTCGCTTCTGGCTCATAGCAACCCTGTAAGACAGGGTAGAACCGTTCTCTGTGCGTTTCTGAAACCGTAACTCTTGACTGGAGTAGAAAGCCCCGCCTCTCTCCCGAGGAGCAGCTGGTGGTTTTGAACTGCTGGCCTTGTGTTTAGCAGCCCAATGCTGATCCACTATGCCACCAGGACATAGCAGTGATGCAAACAATTTTCTACTCAGCGAGAGCTTGCTTTCAAGCACACCCTAGCTTAGTGACGCCTCTCTGGACCCCAGTGGCTCCTGGGAGGGGAAGGGCTTCAGTCAGTGTGGCAGTCCGCTGGGGCAGTGCTGCGCCCTGACTGTCCACACTGGGACACAGGTGTGTAGGGACATGAGGTGAGGTGGCTGGCAACACAGCCAGGGTGAGTGGAAAGGAGCCTGGCCAGTAGGGAGGCCCAGCCCAGGAGGCCACCAATGTGGGGTCCCTGGAGGGAGCTGATGTCACAGGTCTGAGTGGCTGCTGGAGCCCCCAAATCCAACCAGCTCAGCTCTGTACCTCAACAGGGCAGCAAAGGGCAGCAGTCTGGCTGTCCATTTATCTGGCCCCCTGACCGTCTATGACCTCTCCAGGCTAGGAAAGCTCTTGCCCCGCATCTAGGGAGATACTTCAGACTTGGGGCACTCAGAGCCCACCCTGCTCAGAAAGGACTTAAGATGCTCTACCCTCCTGCCCATTCCACAGACTCAGGAAAACACTGGCCACCTCTCCATGACCTGTCTCCCTCCTAAGTGGCTGGCCAGGGTGGGGTGGGTGGCCACACAGCTGTGGCAGAGGCTGGCAGTATTCGGCGAGCTCAGTCCCAACGCCTAGAGCCTCAAGAGGACAGACAGATGGACATACACACCCCCTCCTTAAATGTGCCCTGCCCCCTCGAGGGGCCAGGCTGTGCACACTCACCCGGGAGATGGTGAGAGGCATGTTGAAGTCCTTGCCCCCCTGCAAGCGGAAGCCCCAGGGTCCAGGCCCGGTTAGGGTCACACTGTAAGACATGCTGGAGTTGACAGCTACGGCTTCTGCAGAGAGAACAGACTCAGATGAGAACCTGAAGCACTTTACACCCCCAGCCCAGCCGCTGGCCCCAACCCCACTGCCCAGACTTGCCTGCTCTGTCCCCTGCTGCTTGGCCGGGCTGTGTGGAGTGCCCAAGAGCCTCCTAAGAATAGCTGAGTGAATGTCATGCACACTGATATCTGTTCTCGGCTACGCCCATAAATGGGTTGTAATCCTACACTGTGCCCGCCCGCCCGCCAGGGGCAGCCCATCTGTGTCCACCGTGACTCACACAGCTAATATAGCCCCTGGGGACCCAGCAGCACCCCCCAGGGGCAGCTAAAGGGCACTGGCCAAGTTGGTTGTCACCTCTGGCTCTCTGCATTCTCCTTCCTTCTGTCCCTTTGGGGAGCCCAAACTCACTCTCTCTGCTGAGCTGTGGCCCCTTCCACCTCGGGGTCCCAGAAAGACAGGGTGAGTTCCCTGGGGCAGGGTCTTTGTGGCTGGGGTCTTGATGGTTCAGTAGCTCTAGCGAGGACTTAGAGTGCACCCTAAGCAGGGTGGGGGCCTTGGTGATGCTGAGGCCTGGGTTGAGTCCCCAGCTGGTCGGGCCAATGGTTCAGCACAGGAGCCCAATGGCTGGACCCTTCACCCCCTTATGCCCTTACTACGGACAGGCTGCCAGCCTGCCTATGGGAGCCCTGGCTTAGAGAGCCTAAGGGACTTTTTCAAGGTTACACCGTGGGAGACTAGGACACTCAGTAGTCTGTGCTCATTCTATGACACTTCAGATAAGAGAGCCCAGAGGGTGGGGGACCTGGGGGGTGTGGGCACCGGCGCCTCCTGAAACCTTGGCTCAGAGGGGCTGGGGCCCTGCCCACATCCCTTGGCAAGTTCAGGGGCCAGGCCCAGGCCCCCAAGGTCTCTGGGGGCCCAGCGGTTATTCCTGGCTCTTCAAACGCATTTGTGCTTTGGAAAACTTGACAGCAGTCTAGAGAACTCCAGCTGCCGGTGTCCATGCCAGGCCCGTGCCCTTTGCCATGGAATGGGGGAGGGGGAGAAGTGCCATTTACTCAGCTGCTGGGAGCTGGGGCCAGAAGGGAGAGGGAGCCCTGCTTGGCGTGATCAGCCCCTACCCCTGAGCCAGTATGGTCTGGGTGGGAGCTCATGCCCTTTGGGACTTATGACTAATTCCTGCCGCTGTGCGTTTGGGGCCAAAATTACTACAGAAGTACTGTCCTAGGATAGATGTCAAGGCCCACTGTGGTCTAGAGAGCAAAGCCCAGGCCTGTTCTCTGGCTGGGGAAACTGCGGCTGGGGAGTGACTGTTGGGTGGGGCGATGAGGACTCAGAGAGGCCTGGGTGTGAGTTATTTCCCAGTTGCCAGCACCCGGCTGCACCCCCTGCCTCTGGCACCCGAGGCTTATCGATGGAAACTGCCCATGACCCTTCCTTGTAACGTGTTGGATGAGCTCCTCAGAGCTTCTGGTGGACATTCCGATGGCAAATGGACAGTGCTCGCTGGTGGCCCCAGCCCCCCAACTGGTGTCCAGGGCAACAGGTCCGGTTCTGTCTGGCACACACAAGTGCACTTTAGATGCCCCCATCTTCCAGGGTCACTGGGAAACTTGCCCCTGTTAACCAGTTGCCGACTCAGGGAAAACCCTCCCCACCCCCCCAACCCCACCCCCACCTCTCCACGTGTCCGAACAGCACTGCCCTCCACAGGGTTCCTAGGTGGTGACCGTTCAGAAACAGAGCACCAGACCTTCTGCACAAGCGTCTCTGGGTTAGTTTGAACCGTCAACGTCTTGGTAAGTAACCCAGCGCTTAGCCATTTGCCACTCAGAGATGTCCCTTGTCCACGTTTATAAGACCATCAAGTGGAAGAGACTGAGAAGGGACCAGTGTGCTGTGCACCCAGGCCACCACCTTCTCTGCCCTGCAGCCAGCCTTCCCTTTGAGGCCAGTACTTTGCAGCCAAGACTCCTGTCCTTTCCCCATACAATTCGCCAAGTCTACCTCCCACCCCACCCATCCTCAGTACCAGCCTCATCCCCTTTCCTACAGGAACTTGCTTTGCAAGCCCGGAGGTACCCAGCAGCGGGATAGCGACAGGAAGACAGGGACTTCACACGGGGAAGGCTGCGTTTGGCTACGTTTGGCTACGCCTGGACTTCGGCACCTCCCGAGGCTGACTTAAGAAAATGAAGGAGCAGCAGGGACCATCCTCTTCCAGAGAAAGTCAGCCCCCGTCATCTGCCTCCCCTGGGAGACCCAAAGGCAGGGAAGCCAGCTGGTACCCACTGGCTGCGTGGAGGCGGCTTCCTGAATGACGCAGAAGCACAATGGGCTTTACTTGTCCCCTCCCCCTCTGCCCTTTGAAGGAGTCAGGAGTGAGAATCCCAAGTAGCAGACGGGAGAAGGCAGAGAAGCTACTGGAAGCATCTAAGGCTGGCTCTGGCTCTCTCTCTCTCGCCGTAGCACCAATAGGCAGAGACCGGGTTTTTTTTTCAAAGGAGACCTTTGATTTTTATTTTCCTCCCCTGCCAGTCACCCAACCTTGGAGTGAGCTTCAACCATTGCTCTGAAACAGACCAGGGTAAGTGTGTGCTCGTGTGCTCAGCATGCATGCAGGTGTGTGTGCATGTGTGCGCATGTGCACAAATGTGGGTGCAGAGCAAAGTGGCATGCTGGGCAGTGCTCTGGAGAAGAGGCCAGAGCTGAGCCTCATGGTGCAGGGCTTGCACTGCAGGCAGAGAGAAGCAGCCAGTATATGCCCAGCCAGGGTGCAGAATCTGGCTGCGAGGCCTGGCTCCCAAACAGTAGATTTTTCCCACAGAGCCATCCCCACTGTTATTGCCTGAACAGTCGCACCGTGCAGCACACGAGGAGCTGCAGATGCTCCTGAGAAGTGGAGGCGGCGTCCTGTCTTCTGGCTGAACTGGCAGCATTAGAGGATGTGCAGCCTCACTTGATGGGAGCTGAAGTCTGGTGGCTCCGGGAGGGCCTGGAGCTGACTGGAACCTCAGGTGACAGGGATATTCCACAGCCTGCTGGCTCACAGGGCAATCCTGGCCTGCGTGTCAAAGGGACATGTGAGGGGCTGGATGTGTCCCAGAGGAAAGGGAGAGCCAACGGGGCATCCTATGCCTGGGAGTTCAGGCTGAGGGGCAGCCCCTTGATCTGAAAACAAACAGCACACATCTGCTTAGCTCCAGTACTGTTCTCGTGAGCGCAGTCTCCGTGGTTGAAGTCGCTGAGTGGGGAGGGGAGGGTGGCTTGGAAGGGGCAGAGATGGGCGCCCCCGCTCCCCCCAAGACGGAGGCAATTGAGGGAGAAGACTGCAGCGGGGGCCTTCTGCTGAGCCACAGCCAGCACGGTTTATGGCTCCCGTTGTACAGGCCCCTGGGGGTCTCATGGAGCTCCTCCCCAGGGTCTCCAGAACCCACCCAAAGCCTTCCTTGCTTTTCACAACCCACATTCTGCATTCACTCCCGGACCCTCCCCTGCTCCTGCTGCCCTGCAGCCTCCACCTCTGCCAGTCTTCTTCAGGGAACAGCAAGGCTGGCTGCACCAATCCCTCCTTAAACCATCCTGGGCCCTGGAGACTCCTCCCATGGGCTGCTCACCTTCTCCTACATCTCCTCCCTTCCCCTACTCTCCTGTCCCCTTGGCAGCTCCAGGGCCATTGAATGACACCCTGTCCCAGGACAGGCTGGTCCTTTTTATGCCTTCCTGCACTTGTCCAGGCTGTTTCCCCCTCTTAGGACACGCCTCCCCCCCCCACCCCCCGCCTTCTGCTACCACTCTCACCACCATGGAAAAATCCCAGCCTTACCATCACCATCCCTGAGAGGCCCTCACTGCTGGGGATTTACCCGCTTCCAGCATCTTGTGAGCTCCTACCTCCATGATGGTGCTTATCATTGGCTTGCTGTCCCAACCCCTCCCCTCCAGCCCATGCACCGTATCTCTCAAACCAGTCTGGGTGTTCTGGTCTCTGTGGCTGCTATCAGTGCTCAGGGATCAGAGGGGTGGGAGAGGGACAAAGACTCCACATTGACTGGTGGTCCTCAACCTCCCTGGGAAGCAGCTCTGGTGATATACTTAGGGGATCCTCAACCTCCCTGGGAAGCAGCTCTGGTGATAGATATACTTAGGGGATCCTCAACCTCCCGGGGAAGCAGCTCTGGTGATATACTTAGGGGATCGGTCTTTGCGCCAAAACAAACAAACTACCATAAAGTCAATTCCAACTCATAGGGACCTTATAGGACAGGGTAAAACCACCCTTTTAAGTTTCTGAGACTGTAACTCTTCATGGGTGTAGAAAGCCCTGTCTTTCTTCTGCAGAGTGGCCGGTAGTCTTGAACTGCTGACCTTCTGGCTAGTGCCCAATGCATAACCACTCTGCCACCAGGACTCCTGGTCTTTGGGGAATGAAGGAAGACAAGTGACTGAGGTTGTGGGCTTGCTGGGGAAGCCTGAGCGCTCAGGAGCTGGATAGATGGCCCAGTGGACACAGGGATATTCGTGGGGGTGAGTGGAGGGGCAGGGCTGGGAGTTGTCCACTGAGGGCCAGGGCAGCCCTGGGGGACTGTGCACATGGTGCTTCCAGTGTTCCAGAATATCGCCTTCTCTAATTGCCATCGACATTCCATTCCATAGGCACTTGGCCTGACAGCTGGCCTTCTTTTAATAGCCACAGTACTCTGGTGGACATCCTGATCTTGGGGCATTTATACCAAGTACAAATACAGCTTACAGTTGCCCCGGGACCCCTACCAGGTATGTTCCAGGCCTGGGCATTGGGGTTACACAGAGAGGTACACCAGGTTTGGTTACACACTCAGTTTAGAGTAAACCAACTGTGACTCGCTTAGCCACGTGCCCGAAGGTGTCACAGGAACACGTGTCATACGGATGCACGGCCACCATAGTCATACACGCTTACATGCTTACCACATGACGACAGTGGAGCCACCACAGATGCCTGCTACCTAGGTGCACAGTCATATAACCTTAGCGTATGCGCACACACACACACACACACACACACACACTTGGGTCCTGCTCAAAGCATCTGGAAGTCACATAGGCCATCAGGAGCCACGGCCAACCAACGAAAACCTGGGAGGTACAGGGTAGGGGTAATTCCCAGAGGCCACTGGGCCTGCCCTTGAGAACAAGCCCCCCTCAGTGACTTGCCCATTCTCCCCACCCCTTTCCACGTGGGCAGTGGGCAGGCCCACTCACCTTCTGGGCAGTCTCTGTTTCCCATCCCCGGGGCCTGGGTGTTGGGTTGGCATCCATGCTCTCCAGGTCCTGCCCTCGGGGGCACCGTCCGCTCACTTGCTGGGTATACCCACTGGTGGCCGTGACTTCTGTGTCTGTCCAGCCCTGGGGGAGGTCAGAGAGTCCTGTGAGCTGGGAGGGACATTCCGCAGCCTTGTCCCTGTCTTCTCTTTCACCATGATCCAGCATGGAGGGATGCTGGCTACCACGCCGTGCCAGCATGTATCCATGTGTGCGTGAAAGAGACAGAGGGGATGAGTGTGGGAGAAAGTGAAGATGCGCTTGTATGTGGGAGAGAGAGAGCATACATGTGTGAGGGGGGGAAATGTGTGTGACAGTGAAGATACTTGAGAGATCGTGAACGTGTGTACGTGGAAGTGTGTACACTGAGAGATGGTGAAAATGCGTACCTGAGAGTATGTGAGAGAGAAAGATGGTGTTTGACAGAGTATTAAGTGTGTGAGAGAATAAAGTAAATTTGTATGCCATTGAACGTATGCGTGAGAGAGAGGGAAAATGGGTGTGTAAGAGAGGGAAAGTGTGTGTGTAAGAGAGAAAGTGCTGTGTACGTCTTCTTAAACGTGTGGGTATTAATATTCTGTGTGATATGCCCTCGTGAGGATCCATTAAGAGATAAGATTCACTCCTGATAATTCACAAAAATGGTTCAAGGAAGGAAGTTCCTAACAACAAATCTCCGCCTGCCACCTGCAACCCCCAGGGGTAGGGACCTGTGGGAGAGAAGCATTCGCCGGCCCTCCAAGGTAATGGATGAGGCCCTCAGAGGGCCCTGGAGGCAGAATGGAGGTTCCTGAGGTTGGCTGGGGCAGAAGCCTTCCTCCGGGAGTTTCCCTCGGCCTCCGGCCTGAGGGGAGGCACTGCTGCAGGAAGGGAGATGCCAGGGACACCAACAATCCTTGGGCTCAGTACCCAGGCATGGCACGCCATACCTAGCCCATAATCTGAGAGAGAATGGTTCTTCATTTTTAGAGGTGGGCCCAGAGGTTGAGTGACTCATCCACGCTCACGCAGTGAGTGGTAGTGCCCCGGGGGAGTGAGCGCAGGGCTCCAGGGCCAGGGTGTCTCCTGCTGTGTCCTGTGGACACCTTGAGAGACTCCATTCTAAGATTATGAGGTCATTGGAGGCTGGCCTGGGGCTCTAAGCCACTGTCCTAGTTTACTCTCAGTGTCCCTGAGTCTATTCTGCCTCATAAGATACCCCCCACCCCAGCCCGCCCCAATAGGACAGAGTAGAACTGCTCCTTTGAGTTTCCGAGGCTGGAAATCTTTACAGGGGAAAACTGCCTCGTTTTTCTCCCAAGGTGCACCTGGTGGGTTTGAACTGCTGACCTTGTGGTTAGCAGCCCAATAAGGGGCCCACTACAACACCAGGGGTCCTTAATCGTGCCTATAGGTGAAGATAATGAAAAGAGTATGGGGAGTTTCTGGCAGGTTTTCTTGCCCGCTGTCTAGAGTCTGTAGTGTCCCAAGCCCTGAGTCTCAGAGGCACCCCTCCTGGAGCACTGAGGATGACCAGGTACAAGCCAGCAGAGGCCCGAGGCCCTTACCATGTCACTCTCGGAACCCAGGGATGCCTGGCGCCTCCGCCCGGAGATCCAGCTGAGGTCCGAGGCCTGGCTGCTCAATGTGGAGTGACGAGTGGAGCGGTAGCTGGTGTAAGGCTGAGCCCGTTGGCCCGACACGCCCAGCAGCATCCCCAGGCAGGGCAGGTGCTGGGCGATGGCCATTCTGTGGGACAGTACAGCTGGTT